AGGTAATAAATTGTGCCTTTGTGAGTGACACACCCACATCCATAGAATTAATTTAAGAAATAGAATGCTGTGATCTGGAGGGAGATGGTTGCATGGTGTCTGGAAGAAAAAAAACTAGGTGAACCATTGACTTCCTTCACTGGATGTAGCATTGGCCTAGATTTTTGTGCTGGTGCCTGGAGTTGAGGCATCCGCCTTTAGCCTTTTGACTCAATGGCAAGCATTTATTTATCGCATCAGCACCTAGATCGGAAATTTTGAAAACTTTGAAGATAAGAAAGTAATGACAAGTTAAAAATGAATAGGGCCTGATGTGCTGTCTTCTCTGGAAAATCTGGAGGCTGTGATGATGTTGTGGATGACCATATTGTATATTAGACTTATTGAATATTCTGAATCTTTGCTTAAATACTTCTGTGAAATATTTTTGACAGAACGTTCTCTGTCTCTGATCAGAAATTCCAGGTTGGGATGGCCCTCATGCTGGGGTTAGATTATTTAGAGAACTCCAAGGGAGAAGGCTTGATCAGTAAAATGGACTTTTCTCATTTCATGTGATTGTCGAACTGTTCTTTGAGTGCAAAATATGGTGAGGCATAATGTTTAAAGTGGCGAATGGGATGGTCAATTGAAAGTGAGTGCAAAATAACAGCAAGGCAGGAAACAAATAGAAAGCTAGTCTGAATAAAAACCGAAAGAACTGCGGGTGCTGTAAATCAGGAACAAAAAGAGAAGTTTCTGGAAAAGCTCAGCAGATCTGGCAGCATCTATGAAGAGAAAGTCAGAGTTAACGTTTTGGGTCCAGTGACCCTTCCTCAGAACTCTGCCACAGAAACCTAATCTGTACCAGAACAGTCAGTCTCACTTGTACTCTCAACTTGGCCACATATAAACTGATTATAAAAGGCTAAACTAATTTGTGATGGATTGTTTTTCAGCATCAGATGCTATAAATTTGACAAAAATGGTTGGAATACTTCCAGAAGAAGTTTGTTTTTAAGAGTTCCAATGAAATCATCAGGAAGGTATCACAATGACTCAATTAAATGCTAACAGCAGAGTTTAGTCTGAATTTCAGAGATTACCAGAATGAAACACACAGTGAAATACCAGCAAGCTTATTTTGTCAATTTACATCTACGTGACCTTTTCAGGAAATTTTCATCTCTTTTCATTAAATCATGAATTGTAAGATAGCAGACATAATAGGGTCCATAATGCATTTTACCTATCAATAATGAATCATACCTGCTATTTCTAGGGATACTCTAGAGTGCTCCAGCTGTACCTCATGAGGCAACAATTGGAACAATGTGATCAGGGATAAAAAAGATGAGTGAAAAATGTTGTTTTGAAATTAAACTTAGATCAGACTTGGATAGTTTCTCCAAAAACTGTATTTTGACAAGAGAATATTTTCATTCCTGATCGGAAACAGTCTTTTTTTTCTCTATTCATTAATAGGATGTGGGCCTTGCTGGCTGACCAGCATTTCTTGCCCATCCCTAGTTGCCCCTTGAGAAGGTGGTGGTGAGCTGCCTTCTTGAACCATTGCAGTCCTCCTGCTTTGGGTTGACCCACAATGCCATTAGGGAAGGAATTCCAGGATTTTGACCCAGCGACAGTGATGCCACGGCGATATATTTCCCAGTCAGGATGATAAGTTGCTTGGAGGGGAACTTGCAGGTGGTGGTGTTCCCACATGTCTGATGCCCTTGTCCTTCTAGATGGAAGTGGTTGTGGGTTTGGAAGGTGCTGTCTGAGGATCTTTGGTGAATTACTGCAGTGCATCTTGTAGGTAGTACACACTGGTGCTACTGAGCGTCGGTGGTGGAGGGAGTGGATGCTTGTGGATGTAGTGCCAATCAAGCGGGCTGCTTTGTCCTGGGTGGTGTCAAGTTTCATGTGTTGTTGGGACTGCACTCATCCAGGCAAATGGGGAGTATTCCATCACACTCCTGACTTGTGCCTTGTTGATGATTGACAGGCTTTGAGGAGTCAGGAAGTGAGTTATTCACCACAGTATTCCCAGCTTCTGGCCTGCTGTTGTAGCCACTGTGTTTATGTGGTGATTCCAGTTGAGTTTCTGGTCAATGATAACCCCCAGGATGTTGATAGTGGGGGATTCAGTGATGGTAGCACCATTGAATATCAAGCGATGGTGGTTAAATTGTCTCTTATTGGTGATAGTCGTAGCCTGGCATTTGTGTGACACAAATGTCACTTGCCACTTGTCAGCCCAAGCCTGGATATTGTCCAGATCTTGTTGCATGTGAACATGAACAGTTTCAGTATCTGAGGAGTCACAAATGGTATTGAACATTGTGCAATCATCGGTGACCATCCCCAATTCTGACCTTATGATGGAGGGAAGGTCATTGATGAAGCAGCTGAAGATGGTTGGGCCTAGAACACAACCATGAGAAACTCCTGCAGAGATGTCCTCAAGCTGATTTTCACACTATGGGCAGCGTGGCTTGCCATAAATGTTATTTCATGGGAATCAATAGGAAATGGGGTGGGGTGGGGTTGGCAAGCTCTCCCCTGGTTGGAGTCATACCTGGCACATTGGAAGATGCTTGTGGTTGTTGGAGGTTAGTCACCTCAACTCCAGGACATCTCTGCAGGAGTTCCTCAGGGTAGTGTCCCAGGCTCAAACATCTTCAGCTGCATCATCAATGACCTTCCCTCCATCATAAGGTCAGAAGTGGGGATGTTTGCTGATGTTTGCACAATATTCAGCACCATTCGCGATTCCTCAGATACTGAAGCAGCCAATGTTCAAATGCAGCAAGATCTGGACAATACCCAGGCTTGGACGGACAAGTGGCAATTAACATTCATGCCATACAAATGGCAGGTAATGACCATCTCCAATAAGAGGGAATCTAATTACATTCAATGGTTTTATTGACACTGCATCCTCCACTATCAACATCCTTGGGTCACCATTGACCAGAAACTGAACTGGACTCACCATGTAATGTTTTGTTCTACTAGTGCAGATTAGAGGCTGGGAATGCTACAGTAAGTAATTCACCTCCAGACTCCCCAAAGCCTGACCACAATCTACAAGGCACAAATCAGGAGTCTAATCGAATACTCCCTACTTAGCTGGATGGGTTCAGTTTCGACAACTCAAAGCTTGACACCATCCAAGACAAAGCAGCCCATTTGATTAGCACCGCATCCACTCCCTCCACCACTGACGCTCAGTAGCAACAGTGTGTACTGTCTACAAGATGCACTGCAGAAATTCATCAAAGATTCCTGGATAGTGCCTTCCACGCCCCACGAACACTTCCATCCAGAAGGACAAGGGCAGCAGATAAATGGTAACACCACCACCTGGGCACCTGCAGCACATGGACTGCAGTTTAAGAGGGCAGTTCACCATCACCTTCTCCAGAATAACTAGGGACAGGCAATAAATGCTGGCCAGCCAGTGATGCCCACGTCCCACAGTGAATAAACACATTTTTAAAAATCTGTTTATTGTGCAGATTTCAAATGTCATAGTCATACAGCACAGAAACAAACCCTTTGGTCCAACCAGTCCATACTGAATATAATCCCAATTAAACTAGTCCCATATATCTGCTCCTAGCCCATGTCCTTCCAAACCTTTCCTATCATGTAGCTGTCCAAATATCTTTTAACTATTGTAATTGTACTTGCATCCACCAATTCCTCAGGAAGTTTGTTCCACACGCAAACCACCCTCTGTGTTAAAAAAAAAAAAAAAAATCTTCTTTTTAAATCTCTCTCCTCTCGTCTTGAAATCCCCCATCCTAGAGAAAAGACACCTGCAATTAATTCTATCTCTACCTCTCATTATTTTATAAACTTCAATCAGGTCGCCTCTCAACCTCCTACACTCCAGTGAAAAAAGAGTCCCAGCCTATCCAGTGTGGAGCTGGAGGAACACAGCAGGTCAGGCAGCATCAGAGGAGCAGGAAGCTGACATTTCGGGTCCGGGACCCTCCTTCAGATTTTCAAAAGAGATATTTTGAATTTAATGTTTTTACCTAATGTGTAGCAGTTTGAAATAAGCTATGGGATAAGGCACTTCAAATGGACAAATTGAATAAGTTCAACAGATTTATGCATTTCTGGAGAGTAAGAGGATTTAGTGTATTGTGAGAAATCTAGCCTTTGAAATCTATCAAAAAGGAATTTTCCTACTGCCTATTTATTTCCTTAAAGTTCTTAGAATATTATTAAACTATTCTAGTGGGTCTGAACTAATTCTTCCTGCTGCGTTTTGCCAATGGTGGAACAGATCTTCAACTGAGCCATAACCAAGGAAGTTGATAAGATATCTATGAGCTGGTAAATAGTTTGGTGTTGGCTCTTCCAAACGTCTTCCAGTTACATTTGCTCAGCATTTTAGTAGACTGCCTCTTTTGTCTTTTGTTGAAAAGTGAAATTCATGCCAGTAACTGATGATGTACAGACCTGATCTGTGATGAGAACTTAGGTCAGCCCTGGAATGCAACTTTCAGGAAAATGTCTATGGCCTGGGTTAAGTTGGGCAAAGGCTAGATGTGAAGCACTTCACTCCTTCACAATCCATTCTGCTCCTCTCCTCTTGAGAGTACTGACCCTTGGATTATATTTCTGAAAATTTTGCACCTCTCTGGTACTTCGTTCCACTTTCTGCAAAACCCTAGACAGTTACCTTTGGCTCATTAATCAAGATGGAGTGGGTGGTGTATCACATCTGATCCAGTTTTTGTCCAATGGCCCCATGTGAACTTTATAGATGATATTACATGGTGACTTTGAATGAAAAAGTAGTTGACTTAACCCATGCTAGCCCACAGCCCTTGCCCTGAGGCTAATTCTAGTTTCCCTAACATTGGATCTTACAGGTCTCAGTGATTTAGTTTCACATAGAGTAATGCATAGTCTTCTGAAACTCCTTCCAATGTGTGACATAGTTGGACATTAAATATGGCAATATAATGTAAAGGTAATATTCTGAGTTTCTGTTTCAGGAAGAATGATATGGAAATGGAATTGGCCAAGTGTAAGATTGACATGATGTCACTCAACAGCCAACTCCTTGACGCAATCCAACAGAAACTCAACCTCTCACAGCAGCTGGAGGCCTGGCAGGTAGGTCAAAGGGCAGGGTGATCCAACACCAATCTTAACATGGTATCTTGAATCTAAATAATAACCAAAAGAGCTGTGGATGCTGTAAATCTGGAACAAAAACACAAGTTTCTGGGAAAGTTCAGCAGGTCTGGCAGCATCTGTGCAGAAAAAATCGGAGTTAACGTTTCGGATCCGGTGACCCTTCCTCAGAACTGATGGTGGCTGGGAAAATGTCGTCTTATATGCTGAAAATAGGGAGGGAGGTAGGGTAGGGAGTAAACAATAGGATAGAGCCCGAAGAGAGAGAAGAGCACTTGATAGACAAAGGAGTTGATAATGATCTGGCTAGGAGGGTGAATAGCTGTTAATTGGGACTGTTAGTGACTAACAATAGGTAGTATGTAATGGCAGGCTATGTGATAACAAGGTCTTGTGTGTTGGGTAGGAGGCTAGGATATGGGAGAATTTAGGCCCTAAAATTATTGAATTTGATATTGAGTCCAGAGGGCTACAGGGTCCCTGAGCAAAAATGAGGTGTTGTTCCTCCAGCTTTGAGCTTCGCTAGAACACTGCAGCAAGCCAGAGACAGAGATGTTGGCCAGGTAACAGGGTGGTGCGTTAAAGTGGCAGGTAACAGGTAGCTTAGGGTCTTTTTTGCGAGCAGAACGTAGATGTTCTAGGAAGGTAGGTTAACTCTGATTTTTTTCTTCACAGATGTTGCCAAACCTGCTCAGCTTTTCCAGAAACCTCTGTTTTTGTCTCTTAATGACTTACATCATTATCACAGTTTAATAAACCTAAAATCAGTTCCTAATGAGGCTTCACTGTTTCAACACAATCATTTGGAGGAAAAGTTGCTTAATATGTGACGTGTTGCAATAAGATTATTTGTATCCAACGATAGGTTTCTAACAATATTTCCTGTAATAACTTATCTTTCTCAAACGACGATCCTTTTTTCCACCTTTTATGAATTTGGGAATATTGAGAGAATTTCACTGGTATATGCTGATCCTGTTAAGAGAATCCTTGAAATGTAATTTCAGTTAATATGATGGATCTCTTACCTGTTACACTGACAACTGCAAATCATCTCATTAACTTGTCTTCAACTCCATGTACCTCTACCTTCTGATGTGAAATTTCAACATCGGCATTCTGAAGATCTAAGAGTTTTTCCACCCGTTAAACATCTCCAGTCGACTATTTTTCACTTATATCTTCTGTGATTTCTAGTGATCTGTTCATAGTAAACCATAATGCTTCCTCTTATACACTGTCTAAGCTTGTGTAACACATGAACATTAACCTTTGAAATTTTGAGTATTTCCACCTCCACCACTGTTAGACCAGTCCAGCTTAGCCATTTTGATTTGGAATCTGGGTGAATAAATTTTGTGCTCATATCATCTAGGAAGGAATAAAATATTCCAACATTATATTTTAAAATGTGACACATTATGGGTGGCACATTAGCTCAGGGACCTGGGTTCAAATCCACCCTCAGGCGACACTCTGTGTGGAGTTTGCATGTTCTCCCTGTGACTGTGTGGGTTTCCTCCCACAGTCCAAAGATATGTAGCTTGGATGGATTGTCCATGCTAAATTTCCCCTGGTGTTCAGGGATGCGCAGGCTGGGTGGGTTAGCCGTGAGAAATGCAGGGTTACTGATTCAGGGTAGCGGAGTGGGTCTGGGTGGAGGATTTTCACATGGTTTGTGTAGAGTCAATGAGTCAAATGATTGATTCCACAATGTAGGGATTCTGTGACTCTATTCCCCTAAGGTGAATGCTTTGAACTGAATTCAGTCAAAATGGCAGCTAATTTGGAATGCTGCATGTTGCATCTAGTGAAAAGAAAATACAAGAACCTTCTAAATAAAAATTAATGGGCATTAAAATGTTGCAATAAGTCCCAATCCTGAATATTTAGTTCTAATATGCTCGCTACTATTACACTGTTTAAGCACTGATCCTGAAGCTGCATAAGTGAATATTGAAAATGGGAGACTAGAATGAACAAGTTTCTTCCACACATTATACACTCGTCCTTGAAATATTAGTTTATAATTAATGATGCCACCCACTAAACGTTTGCTCACATTTGATCCTGATACCTGATAGCTCCTTTTTACTTCATCGAATGGAAGGTCAGACTCCATTTGAACAAAGCACCATTATGAAAATTGTAAGTAAATACTTAGGAAGTAATGGAGATGGATTTCAAAGGATGTGACCTGGAACCATTGAACAGGGGATTCTCTTAAATGGATGCATTTGCATAGTCAGTCACTCGATTTGATTTTGAGTGTCTGGGTATTCTCACTGTCTAAGTATAAATGTGATCACCCTTGGATCCCCACAGGGATTTACAGAGGTACCTGTACTGTGGAAGTTTCTGTATGAAAATGGGAATAAGCTGGGTGAATATGGGGATTTGAGGAGGGCAGTGTGTGTTAGGAACATCGTGGTTAGTGCTGCAGTGGTATTGCATGTCTGTCCATGTAACACTTTTAATAAATAATCCAACAAAGAAACGCTTTTGTTCTTGTTGCTTCAGAGTCTTGTGTTTTCTTCCCTCTTTTCCTCCCTGCTGCAGTTTGCTTCCTCAGGGCTTTTCACTATCTGGCTCCTCTGGTTTCTCATCTAGTGGCCTTTCCCAGCTACTGTACAAGCAGACTATTGTAAGCCCCCTCCTGCCTCTGAGGTGAGCTTTAACTGTCACATCTCACCCCATCTACTTGTTAGAATGTCTCCCCATTACATCCACTCTTCATCTTTAGCTATTCCTGAGTTTTGAATGTTCCATTCTCACCAGGTCTCTTCAGCCATTTCCATGTGATACATCTATGAGTGATAGGCAGACTGAGCTTTGGCTTCTCAGGTTTGCTGCAGGTAGCTGATGGGTTTTACAGGTCAGCAAATGCTTGGAAATTGACCATCAGAATTATCTCCCATCACGCTTTCCTTCAGATCTGATCAGCTTTGTTCCCACTGCAATAAAACTTGTTGTATTTGTTGTGATATTTATTGCAGATTGTTTCACCAGAGATCATGCAACTGTCAATTCCACTAAGATTGATTTCTGACTGGTGAATGATCTGTATTTAGAATAATAATTGCAGCAGGCCCTTTCCTTATGCTTTATACCTAACCCATGTTGCATTAGATGCACACAGCTGGGTTGCCCTTCCTACTAACATCCTTCAATGTGTTTGGCCAAACATACAATGTGTAAGACAGATACTGTATTCACCACTTCAGGGCAAGCCAAGAACATGCAACAGATTCCTTTCACTGTTGGAAATATTTTTGATCATTCCAAGGGAGGTTTCTGGTGGATAGTTGTGCTTTTATGATTGCTGAAAATTCAAAATTTGCCACAACTTGATCTAACAGAGAATTGGTCTAGGTAACTGTGTTTCAGGAAATGATGATTTCTAAATGCTGTCACGTTGACCAGTGCACATTGGCACTGTAATAGAGATGAACTGAGGACTTGGTTGCAATATGCACAAGTCCTCCTCTTTACTATCTATACAACACTAACCATTCCCTGACTCAGCTCCCCAATCCTGACATTCCTTACTCTGCACAAAAGCTATTTTAAACTCCCCTCTTTGCCCTTTATTCCAAATCCTCCCTGTACCAAGTTTCCTAGCTTTCAGTGGACAGTACCTGATCTTCCTGTGCCTCAGTTTTAACAATATAGTAAGCTTAGCTGAGCACTTACCTCGTTGCTGATTTTTGTTTTTCTGTCCTTCATTAACCTATTCAGTACTCACCACTGTATGTATAAGGTGTATTGTTCCACAGTCCCAAAGTTCTAAATATACCACCCCAGCCTGTTTGTCAATAGCACAGAGACGTAGCCTGCAGCAACATCTGATTTGACCATTGTCGTGCTCTGTGAGGTAATCTCCAGTCAGTATAATTATAAATATGTGGCACATGCTGACTTCTGTTCCCCTCCTTACAGGATGATATGCACAGGGTCATTGACCAGCAGTTAATGGACAAACAACAGAGAGAGTGTCGTCCGCCAGCTCAATCCTACAGGAACAGCTGCAGCATGAGGCACAAAGTCATCTCCTCAGTGAAACTGGAACGAAACCGACAAGAGCTCGTTGGGGCAGAAGGGAAAAGTCCCTTCTCGTTTTTCAAGAAGAATTAATTTTCATAGTAATTGTTAAAAGGGACAATTTTGGAGTTGGCAGGGCTTCAAAGAGATTCTTTGTACAAAGAGTGTTCCATTGAATGGGAAGAAAATTTATGCTTCCTGGGCTCAGGCAATAGTTCCATTCACCCGCAAAAGGATAGCAGGTTGGCAGAGTGGAGCAAACCGTGGGTGGTCGAACAAGTCAGGTAGCCTTGTTACTAGAGATGTTCTCTGCTTTTACTGGTGCCCAAATGGTCTTTGACAAAGGTTCTTGTACATGGAGTTTTGCACGACCATACTGTACATAACGGGTTAAATCAAATTGTGTTGATAAGTTAAATTATTCTCACAAAAAGAGAAATGTAAAAGAATGTAAATGTGCAAGAAATGAGTTAAAGAATGTCTGATTTGTGAAGGACTGAATGTTTGTATAGTATTTTATGATGGACTGGTTGCCCTTAAAGAATTGTATGAGACAGCAAACCCATATGCATCCATAGCAAGAAATGTACTGCACCCTCTGACCATTGCACTTCAGATGATTCATATGGAATATTGCTGCATGTGCATGTAGGTGTGGACAGTTCACTGTGTGCCTGTGGAATATAGTGTTTGTGTGAGTCATGCCTGTTCAGTATAGTGTAAGATAATTCACTATGCACAAGTTCAGTGTTGAAGTGAATTTTGTGTTGGTGTATAAAGTGCTCCATAATAACACCTTGACAGAAAACCAATGGGAACCAGTTCATTATGCGAGTGCACAGTTGTCTGACTATGAAGTGTTGGTCGGTACAATCGCTGTACTGCAGCACATCCCGCTATGGTACGACATAGGCTCATGGTGGATGTTTGTATGTGAAATATGGCACGACTGCTGGGAACCTGAAAAGTACAAGAGACTATGGAATGTTTGACAGCAGCCGTAAAGAGAAAAGATAGGTTCATGTTTTGTGTGGAGATGTATAATCAATACAACAAAAGGATTGTTGGCTGACACATTCTGGCCAATTGTGAGACTGTCATTTGGGTGTTGTGTTAACTGGGTGCCCATTTGGGGAAATTGCAGGCGTGTGATGTTGAAGAAGAGAAAAGTTAATTAACTAAAAAAATGACTGAACGTCCACAATTTCCAATGTAGCTGTCCTGTGGGCATCCAAATGCAGAATCATTGTTAATCTGTCCTTTCTCTTTTCAGATGCTGATGGAAGCATTGTGTACTTTTAGGATCTTCTGTTTAAATTTAACATTCAGTGAAAGGTTGGATACAAAGTCCCATCCAGTATAGTTGGGTTGTGTCTGCACTGTATAATGTGGAATCATGCAAGGTAGAATGTAGATTGAGATAAAGTACTTTTTGCCTGATCAACATGGAACAGTGCACTGTATGTATATAATGTGTTGGACAGCACAAGACTAGTGTAGATTTATGCACAAATATACAAGTTGTGTGGTATGGTTTGAAATTGCAGACGGTACAAATCTATTAACAGATTGATACAATGCATGATAATGTTGAGTAAGCAGGTGTCCCTGGATAACAGCATAGGATGGTGCATTGTGTACTCTATGGTCAGGGTCTCTATCCCTAAGCAATATAGTGTAGGAGATAGATTGGGATAACAGATTATATGCCTGTTCATCCACTGAGGACATGCATCATGTGCTGGAAAGTATGAGCTTGTTCTGCGTCTTTAGAGAGTAGAGTGGTGGAGAGTGACAGGGAGTGTTATAATCTATTATTATAATTATAGTAGTGTTATAACCTGGGAAAGTATACATGTGAAGAATTGTGTGGAATCATGTGGTATGTACGTACATGGTGTGAATAGTATGCTTTTTGCTTGTGAAGTAAATTGTGTGACAATGCACCCTGTGCCTATACACCCCAGAATGATAAACACACTGCATTACTACTAGGGAACTGAGTAGTGTGTGGTTGCCTGTAGAGAGCTGTGTTACAATGTGCTGTGAACATATAGAATGTCAGTGCATCATTTCTGTGCCATATGTGATGGGCACAGTATCAATCGTTCTGTTTCGTTTTTGGAGTGCACAGGCAATTGTAAGTTAGTGACCTCTTTGAATGTTCATGCACAGCAGCACATGTGTAGTACTTTACAGGGACCATCCTGTGCATGACCTGTGTGGGGATTTTAGAATCACTGCCCAGCCTTGCAGATTTGAGGGTGAATTGTCTGTGCAATATGGTGCTGGGTAATGTATATCTGCCTGTAATACACAGTATTAAATATACTGTACACCTTGAACGGTATTCTCTCAGACTGGTGTATGATAGTGCACCATGAACAGTGTATTGTTGCATCTGTGCATCATCTACCTACACAGTAAAGGATACTGCACTCTGTACCTGTGCAGTAGTGTACCACGTGCCTTTCCAGTTGTGTGTGTGTGTGTGTGTGTGTGTGTGTGTTTGTGCGCGTGTGCGTGCGCGCCTGTCTGATAATGCGCCATGTGCATGTATATCTAAAAATATATCCTGCGCATGTCCACTGTGGTGCGGGCTAGTGTAATGTGTGCCTGAAGCCTATATAGTTCGCTAGTGCACCACGTATGGTATGTGAAGAATTGTCATGTGCTTTTATGTTATAATGACACAATCCACTGAATGTCACCTCACTGTTGTCTGGAGTACTGTTACGTGTGCTTGTGATATTTACAATGAGATTGCGTGCTATTTGCCACTGCAGTGTCTATGGTGCAATGGCACCACCTGCTGTATAAGATAGCATGAGGAATGGGGGTTTGTTATACACTACAGAATGGGAGAGTGTACTCGGTGCCTATACATGATAGTGGGTTGTGAATGCAGTGTGTGCCTGAATGGTACGGTTGGGTGTGGGATTAGGGTAAACCTGACCTGTACAGCAGCTTGCCATGAGTCTCTACAGGCATAGCATGGTTCTTAGCTGGGAGTGGTGAAGCAGTATAATCTGGATATATTTCTGGGTGCCTTTTAATTGCAATTGTATAAGGCACAACATAGAGTCTTATGTAGTGTCCACAGGTGGACCATGTGCTTAATCAGTAAAATGACATGGAGTAGTCTACTGTTCCTCTTTAGTACTGTATGCCTGTGCAATAAGTTTTAGCTATTATTTAGAGGGAACATGAGCAGACTAGTGAAAACAAATGGTTAACACAGTGAATTTGTGGTTGAACTGATGGGATGTAACACTTATTCTGCACTCGCTATATGTCACTCTAGCTGTCGGGTTTATTGCACCTACCCCAGCGATTGTAACCTAAATATCAAAAATGAAAGTGAGCCATGCAGAGCAGGGAGGTTTCAGTTACAATCTCTGCACAGTCCTAAACTAACAAACATTGGTCAGGACAGCAGTCGGTGCTTGACCTTTACCTCCTCCCTGGACTGGGGCGTTATCAGTTGATTATTGCTTTAGTCAGTAATATTGAAATGCTGAAATCTGTGAGTTTGTGGATAAATGCTGAGGGTAGGATAAAGGCTCAGCTGTGAAGTCATTCTGGTTTAGATCACCTGTCTGAGCTTGTAGTGATCAGCACCTTCAGGAGCAGGGGTGGGGGGATGAGAAGACTAAAAGATTATATTTCTGTGAATATTGATGGTAATACCATTTTGACTGGACATTTTAACACGGTTACCATGCAAAACAGGTCAAAGTGCAACCCCAGTCTTACCAGTTGAAATCTAAGCAAACACAAAAGTAAAATACTGTGAATGCTGGATACCTGAAATCAAAACAGAAAATGCTGGAAAATACTCCGTAGGTTTGGCAGGATATGTTGAGAGAGAAACATTAACTCTCTTTCTTTCTCCCTAAGCCAAACAATCTGCACAGAACCAGGCTGACAAGTATATATTGTCCCACTATATTTTTACTCTAAGTTCACTTATTCCGTTGTATGGTGTTTAAACTTTTCACTTCCTTGCTATATGCTCTTTTTTTCAATGAGAATTAGTGTCTCAGCAGTTACCAAAATGCAAAAGGCAGACTGCCAGTATCTACCTTGATTGTGCAATAATAAAATGTATTTTAAGTTGTATTGATTGTAAAATTGCCACCGATCCACTGTTACGTTCAGTATATGTTAGACTCTTTCCAGTTATGGCTGGGACCTGCTCAGCTCTGTCAGAATTGCCTAAATACACATCTCTCAGAAGATCTAGATCCTTCTGACAGTCATGAGGTCAAACTGTTCAGAATTGAGGTTCATAAATTGTAAATCCACTTTCTGAGATTCACTCTTGTGTTTTACAATGTCATCTGAGCTCCTTTTTTTTAGGTCACTGCCTTAAAATATTAACCCTTTTTGGCACAGGGTTTGACATTTTTAAGATTTGGACCTTTGCTGCACTCAATATATGTATTGACTGTGATATTCAGGGGCAGGGGATTTAGTGACATGACCATTTCACCTAAGCCATTTGAGAGGACCCCAGACTTGCTTCCATTCTACCTTTAACCTCACAAGCAACCATAAAGAACTCCCAGCACTGCTTAAAGGAACCATGTTCTGTCACCAGGATTCCTACTTGGGCCAGACAACGTGCAAACTGCTCACATCTGGACTAAAATGAACAATGGTGCATCCACCCAACAGTTCCGTTACCCAGTATTCTAATCCTACAACACACTTTTATAAAGCCTTATTGACAAAAGGAGTGAATAGTGCCAACCCAACCCAGTTAAAGGGAATTAATACAGAAACAGCTGGTGTCAGTGCTCCAGGAGCCAGTTAACTGCCCAGTTTCTGTGTTTGCAATCTCTATTTTATGATATATTAGTCAGGGCTGTGAACAGCTCATGTATTGATTAAATTCCCACCAGAGTGGGGAGCTAAAGAACACCTCACTGCTGAGAAGCAATGGATGTCACAGAGTGGCTTAAATTGGCTGTATATAATATAGAGCTTGGATTCTTTTTCTATATTGAAAAGGTTTCATATCAGTATAGACTATTTGTAACTGAAATACAGTTTACTGTTTAATTTGTATATGAAGAGAGATACATAATACAAATGCTTATTTTTTAGTAAAAATGCTGCTGCCTTTTTATAGTCTTGTCTTGTACCGAACTTGAAAAGCTCCTTAAACAGATATTTCTATGAAGTGTGTCTGTTCCAGAGCCACTGTAATAATAAAGACTAATGTGGACAGGAAGTTGGTGTGCTATCGGCATGTTCTTGCACTTGGGGCTGTTTTATCTGTGTTCTTGAGAGTGGAAATGAATTCTACATGAATGGCATGGAGGTTGAATGCACTGTTCAGTCTGTTATTCAAACGTCCAAAGTTTAAACTCGGTGTATTGTTGTGTTACTTGGTCTTTGCCAGGTTGTGCATCACCAGCCTAGGTTAAGGAATAACACAGACTGAGCAGGAGGGAGAGTGGTGCTCTGTGTGTGTGTGTGTGTGTGTGTGTGTCAGGGTGGGGGCATGGACCATCCCCACTTTGGACCATGCTCTAATGTTCTCACTCGCTGTCCAGACGCACGTATTTTAGATGCCACCCAGACAGCTGTGCACCCCTCCGTGGCTCCTCGGGTATCTGTGCAGTCAGGTGGAGCGTGGGCACCTGCGCTACGTCTCTTGCCAAACACTTGACTCTTACACATAAAGTTAAATCTGGCAGAGCTGCTTGAAACTGTGGAAAAGACGCTTCCCAGTGAAAGATCAATTGGGAAATTCACAGGATTGTCCTTGGCTTGTTGATTTCCCTTGCTTGTTGGATTGCTAATGTTAACACTACCTTCCAGCCACTGAATAATGTAGACAATGGCTGAATGGTGGTTCCTAGCTGAAAAGCTGCAGGTGGATAAGCAGTGAACCCTTCTCTGTGCAGAGAACGAGTCTAAATGACCATCAGTAGAAACTGAAATAATTCATTACATCATAAATGTGACCTACTGTTTTAGATATGTGCATGTGTCTCTGAAAATTAGGCAGATCTAACCCATTTCTTTTTCAATAGCTCAATGTGTTACATTTCTAAAGGAAGATACGCTTTCTTTTAGATCATCTTTTGCTTTCTAACATTAAACCCTCAAAGCTCTTGGTAATGTAGAGGTCGCCAGAAAATAGTGGCGATCTAACGGACCTAGTAACCTGATGTTTGAATTCAAACCCCACCACAGCAACTGGCAGATTCAATGAATCTGGATGAAAACGCCAGAGCTAATGTGATCACGCATTTTCACTTTAGTGCAGGGTGTTAATCTTACTAAAGTAAGGCCTTACACAGATTTAAGTGTACATGATCCTCTTGGCTGTAATATATTAAATTGGCTGCATTGATCACATGCCAGAAATGCCTGAGGTCGTGCAACAATCGGTAAAAGCAGAAGTGCTAAACCAAAATACGCATGTAGCCAATTGACACTGGTTTCTTATGGCGTGTTAACAGTTGAAAGGTTGCAACGCACCTAGCGCAATTTTTTCGATATCTCATTTACTACACTTTCCATTTAAACTAATCCCTCATTAATTCATAAAATGCTGCAGCACATTAGGAGAACATTTGGCCCATCATGACACTGCTGGCTTTTTGAAACAGCTGTCAAGTTGAGTTCCACAGACCCCTCCTGCTCTCCTATCCGTGTGATTTCTTCCTTTTAGAAACAATGTTTGCAAATCACTTTTGAAAGTTGCAGTCGAATGTTTCTGCACCACCACCTCAGGCAGCATGTTTTAGATCACAACATCTCACATTACAACATTGACCTTGCATAAGGCCTAGGAGTTGGGGTAGCTCATTCAGCATTTCAAACCCTTACTGCTAAAACAATAAGGCCTTCTAACCTCAATGTCATTTCCCTGCATTATCCTTGTTTTCTTTGTTTTTCATGTGTAGAAATCTATTTGTAGAATATCCCAAAGCCACTTACAGATAACACGTGAATGTGACCTGTGTCGGAGATACCATTGGGTGGATGACCGTAATTGTAACTAGTGATCGTAACCAGAAATTCTATGTTCTGAACTAGCTCAAGTTATCATCTTTGGAATTTGTCTTCCTGATGAGTTTTTGCTGAAGTAATGACCGCTTCTGTTCCTGATTACCTTCTGTCCCTATTTAACTCCTGCTCCCCTTCGCTACAGATTTGTTTAGGCCTTCCCTGTTAAAACATTAGCTCCAATGCCCAACATGAAACCACATAAGAGATTCACCAGTGTTGTCATTTCAAACTGCAAGATTATTTTAATTGTGTTAGATTTTATGTTGAATCCTAATGTTCCCGTCTCCGTTGTTGAGGCCCTTGTACAGGTTGATCAGTGATATTGGGGCAATATATTGGTTTTGGTTAAAGATAAAGCCAGTGGTGTCCTGTTGTTTATTGAAGACTTGCCCCCGTCAACATAGCAAGTGCCCCAAGGTGAATGAGAACTGAAAACGCTGGTGGCATCTGTGAAGAGACGAACAATTGTCTTCATTGCTCAGACCTTTGAATATAGGAGTTGGGACATCATGTTGAGGTTGTACAGGATGTTGGTGAGGCCCCTTATGGAATACTATGCCCAGTTCCAGTCGCGCTGTTGTAGGAAGGATATTACTAAGCTGGAGAGGTTGCAGGAAAGATTTACCAGGATGTTGCAGGGACTGGAGTGCTTGAGTTATAAGGAGTAGCTGGATAGGTTGGGACTTTTTTCAGTGGAGCATAGGATGTTGAGAGGTGATCTTATAGAAGTTTATAAAATCGTAAGGGGTATAGATAAGGTGAATGACTGGTATCTTTTCACTAGGGTGGGGGATTTCAAGATGAAGGAGAATATTTATATGATGAGAGGAGGAAGATTTAAAGAAGGCATATGGAGCAATTTTTTTTTTTACAAGGTGGTTCATGTGTGGAATGAACTTCAAGAGGAAGTGGTGGATGTGGGTACAGTTACAGCGTTTAAAAGACATTTGGATAAGTACATGAATAAGAAATGTTTGGAGGGATACGTGCCAAATGCAGGCAAGTGGGACTAGTTTAGTTTGGGATTATGGTCGGCGTGGATTGGTTGGACCGAAGGGTCTATTTCTGTGCTGTATGACTCTGATTTTATAATTAATTTTTCAGGTCGATGACCTTTCACCAGAGCATTAATGAGACCTATTCAAAGGGCCAGTGGAAACTGGAAGTGTTGACAACTTCTGGAGAGGCACTGCCAGGATTGTACAAGGCAGCTCTCTTCCTAACAGCTCGTGATGTGTTTCCTTAGGTCACCATGGGAACAGGACTGGAGTGACACCACACTGGTGGGAGGTTCCAATCTCCTTCACTTACCATATGTGGAGTTTGCCTGGTCCGATTTCCTCCCACAGTCTAAAGATGTGCAGGCTAGGTGGATTGGCCAGGCTAAATTGCCTGTCGTGTTCAGGGATGTGTAGATTAGGTGAGTTATAGGGGGATGGGTCTGGGTGGGATGCTCTATGGGTTGGTGTGGACTTGTTGGGCCGAAGGGCCTGTTTCCACACTGTAGGGATTCTATGATCTATGTCAACATGTTACAAGTCAAACCTGTCTTTTTTTTAAATGTGTTTTAGTCGAGTGTGGTTTTAAATAATGAATCAGACTGTCATCAGTAAAACAAAATTTCCAGGAAGAATTTGAACGGAATATATTAGCCAATCCATTTACAATGGGAATAATGGACTGACAGCTTAGGCTCACAAGCATTCCTGCAAAGGAAGCTGGTATCATTTTGGCCTGGAGCTCTTGCAAAGAATATTCCCAGAATATTAAACTTGAGAAGATTTTGAGAATTAATAAAGGAACAGCATATGCCAAGAATCATACCTTCCGTTTTATTTGAGACAATATTCTTGAAAATAAACAATGTTTGACCACCATGCAGTGAGTAGAAGTTCCTGATTTCAGGAAACAGAATCCTGCTTGTCTGTAGTTTATTTAATGAGCCCTGCTGCTTCCTTGTTACCCAATCTTTGATATTCTCTGTGTGAAACAAATCTCTCAGACAGAGGATTACATAAGAAATACAGCACAGAAAAAGGCCGTTCAATCCATGCTGGGGTTTGTGAAACTCTACAGCCTCTTCCCAACTTCCCTCATCTGAATCTTCATGTAACAAATCTAACCCTAGTATATCTACGATATTCACTTTGCCCTTCCTTCTGGTAGTGAGCTCCACTTTCTCACTACTCTTTGCGTGAAGAAGTTTCTTCTGAAATTCCTATTGGATTTCTTGATGATTATCTTATATTGATAGCATCCAGTTACACTCCTTCCCAAAAGTCAAACATACATGTGGATAGTATGGAGGGCTGTTCTAGGTTACAAAGGGACATTGATGGGATGCAGAGCTGGGCTGAGAAGTGGCAGATGGAGTTTAACCCTGAAAAACGTGAAGTGATTCATTTTGGAAAGAGAAATTTGAAAGCAGAATACAGGGTTAACGGAAAGATTCTTGGCAGTGTGGAGGAGCAGAGGGATCTTGGGGTTCATGTCCACAGTTCCCTGAAAGCTGCCACCCAGGTGGATAGAGTTGTTAACAAGGCGTGTGGTGTGTTAGCTTTCATTAATAGCGGGATTGAGTTCAAGAGCCGTGAAGTTATGCTTCAGCTATACAAAAGCCTGGTTTGGCCACATCTGGAGTATTGTGTCCAGTTCTGGTCACCTCATTACAGGAAAGATGTGGAAGCGTTGGAAAGGGTGCAGAAGAGATTTATCAGGATGTTGCCTGGAATGGAGGGAAGGTCTTACGAGGAAAGGTTGAGAGAGCTAGGGCTTTTCTCTTTAGAACGATGAAGGATGAGAGGTAATTTGATAGAGATGTACAAAATGATCAGAAGTATAGATAGAGTGGACAGCCAGAGACTTTTTCCTAGGGTGGAGGTAGTTATTACGAGGGGCCATAGTTTTAAAGTGAGTGGAAGTAGATATAGGGGAGACGTCAGAGGTAGGTTCTTTACTCAGAGAGTGGTAGGGACGTGGAATGCATTGCCAGAGACGATAGTGGAGTCGGCCTCATTAGGGGCATTTAAGCAGCTATTAGATAGGCATATGGATGATAGTATAAGGTAGGGGTGGAGGTTAGATAGATCTTAGGTTTAGGGTAAAAGTTCAGCACAACATCGTGGGCTGAATGGCCAGTACTGTGCTGTACTGTTCTATGTTCTACATTCTATGTTCTATACTCTCTGTATCCACTCTGTCAAAACTCTTCATAATTTCTTAATCTTTTGTAACCTCCAATTCTCTGCTGGTTATACTTACACATTGGAAGGTGGTTGTGGTTGTTGGAGGTTAGTCATCCGAGTTTCAGGACATCACTATAAGAATTCCTCAGGGTAGTGTCCTATGCCCAACTATCTTCAATTGCTTCATCAATGATTTTCCCTCCATCATAAGATCAGAAATGGGATGTTTGCTGATGATTGCACAATATTCAGCTCCATTCATGACTCATCAGACACTAAAGTGGTCCATGTCCAAATGCAACATGATCTGGACAATATCCAGACTTGGGCTGACAAGTGGCAAGTAATATTTGCGCCACACAAATGGCAGGCAATAACCATCATCAATAGGAGATAAATCTAACCACTGTCCCTTGACATTCAATGGCATCACCATCACTGAATCCCTCACAACTAACATCATCAACTAGGCTCCCCATATAAGCAGTGCTACAAGAGCAGGTTAGAGACTAGAGAATACTTCAGCGAGTAACTCACCTCCTGATTCCCCAGAGCCCATCCACCATCTACAAGGCACAAGTCAGGAGTGTGATAGAATACTCCCCACTTGCCTGGATGGGAGCAGCTCCAACAATACTCAAGAAGCTTGACACCATCCAGGACAAAGCAGCTCATTTGATTGGCACTACATCACCACTGATGCTCGGTACGCAATGCTGATACTATCTCCAAGATACACTGCAAAAATTCATCAAAGATTTTTAAACACTGCCTTCCAAATCCACGACCACTTTCATAAAGAAGAACAAGGCGAACATCATCAGTGTCTGGAAGTTCTCCAAGTTGCTCACTATCCTGGCTTGGAAATATATCGCCATTCCTTCACTGTCACTGGGTCAAAATCCTGGAATTCCCTCCATAAGGGCACTGTGGGTCAACCTATAGCACGTGGACTGCAGCAGTTCAGGAAGGCAGCTCACCACCACCTTCTCAAGGGCAACTAGGGACGACAATAAATGCTGGCCCAGTCAGCGATGCCCAAATCCCACAAATGAATAAAAAAAGTTACACCACTTCTGTGGTCCTCCCTCAACTTTCTTTGTACAAGAGACTCAATCTGTTAATCCTGGCCCTATATATATTCCTGATGTGATGCCTACAGATCTTCTATACATCCTCTCCAATGCCTTTGCATCCTTGTTGTTTTATAGTGACCAGAGCTACATGTACATTATGCCTTTCACGGCTCTGACGCTGTGCCCTTCTGTCCATTCTGATCTGTAAATGTTATTGATTTTTCTATCTCTAGCCTCTAAGTATGTTACATAGAATCATATTCCGTGTGAGATTTTAACAAAATCTGTTGAAAGGTTATTGACCTGAAACGTCTCTGTTTCTCTCTTCACCTTTGCTGATCAAAATGGTCTGTTTCCGTGCTGTATGACTCTATGACTCATTTTCTTTTTATTCCAGCTCGGTTTCCCTGCATTCCCACTGCTTCTGCAATCACAGGTTGAAGAGTTCATTGGGCTCTTACTGGCCCTTTGAACTTTGGATGTGACAATTTCTCCTGGGTTCAGCTACTGAGGTGAGCTGTTGTTATCAAACTCAAACATGGAGTTGGAGTGGGCTGATTAAAGATCTGCCAATGTGTTCTTCCCACCTCACCTCCTGCTCTTTGTCCATTGGAAGCATCCATCTGTCTTTGCTCTTAATTGGTACAGAAGCATTACTTCCTACAGCAATCATTTTCTGTACATTGTCTTGCAGTCGTTCTGACATGCTGCTTCTTATGCTGCCTTGCATTTTCAATCTGTCTATGCTCACTTGTCTCTCCTGCATCTCTTCTTAAGTTTTAGCCAGTCTTCTCATTGTCTTCACTCAATGTTCTTCTTCTGATCTGTTTTGATCTTCATCAAATTTATTTCACCAATCAACTTCTAGTTGATTGGAAAATCATCTGTGTTCAAGACATAAGAGTGGCTTTTGCTCCATGTATCCAGTGTGAAAAGACCAACACAACAATGACTGGCCTGCAACATGGTGCCTCTATCACCAGCAAGGACATCAGACGGTTGCCCACCTTAGGAATTTAAAACTCCAGATCATGTGATATTGAGTTCAAAGTTGGCAAAATGATATTGGTCTTCCAGCAGCTTCAGACAGCGTGAGCATCCAAAGCCATTAACACGTCATGAATCTGTGACTCCATATATCTGCTGTTGTACCAACTGCAATCTCTGCCAGCGAGATGTAGAAGAGAACAGCGAAGATCTGAGGTAAATTGGACATATTGCTCCAACACTCCTTTTGTAAGATCCCGGACATCATTTCGAGGGACAGAGACACCAATGAGGAAGTGCTGTAGGGGCCAGATCAGAGGCGCCCGTGGGACATAGTGACAGAGAGACTGTGACTGCGGCAGTAGAGTGGACTCCCCGTGCAATGATGGAGCTGGCCAATAGAAACCTGGTGAAGAACATTTGGGACGACCTTCCGGAAGCGGGCCAGAACCTGGGCTGGAACAAAAGAGATGACCACAGGACAGGGCTGGAGGCAGAGACTCACTGCTCATAGTTCCTCCTGCTCCATGTGGGTCAAAATCTAATTACAGAGAATGAGTGATTAGCAAACATTAATAATAGGGTTAGGGTTACAGAGGGTGAGAGGAAAGTAAACACTAACAATAAACTCTAGTTACAGAGGGTGATCGATTAACAAATAGAAATAATAAACACGACTTACAGAGGATGTGAGATTAACAAATATTAACAGTGAACATTAGTTACAGAGGATGAGTGAGTAACAAACAATAATAGGGTGAGGGTTACAGGGGGTGAGAAGTTAACAAACATTAATAATAAACGCTAGTTGCAGAGGGTGGGAGGTTACTAGATGCTGTTGATTGGGAATGAGAGGTGAATATACCCCACGGTTATAGATAATAAATAAATACTGGCAATATATCCAGTCCAGGCTGGTCATGTGAACCAGAGCTGACGGCTGGGCAGTGGTCAGAGTTGGCTGGACGCTCCTGTGATGGTAAAATTAGGTCTGAGCTGACTCGGGAGCAGTTTGACACCGAGCCCAGTCCTCAGTGAGAGTGAGAGCTCAGCACCGGCAGCTCCGGGGCTCTGCCGAAGCTGCCCCGATGTCTCAGCCGACCGTCAAACCGGACCTCAAGGAATCTTTAGAAGGATATCCAGGGGCTGAAACTGACAATGAAGCCCAGCAGGAGGAGATGTCCCGGAAATATATCTTCCTCACCATATTCTCCTGTTTCTGTCCATCTTATCCCATCAACATCGTGGCGTTTGTCTTCTCAATGATGGTGAGTGAATTGTACAACAACGACAGCTCTTATAGCAGTGTTTCCGAACGTCTTTTGATCGCTGTTAAACTCTCACACAGACCCAGATAATTCCTGGGTGCGTTTCTGTAACACTTATAAAGTTACAGGCTGGAAATTGCAGGCATCTTTTGGCGTTGAGTTTCTCACACACCGGCTGCTGGAGTCTGGCTTGGCAGTTTTAACCCGGAGATCAGTGTCGATCACTCGGCTGGAAACAGATTCCAGTGATCCGCTTGATTTCCTCGGGAGGCGGAGAATCCCGCAGGTTGTGTACTCCAACCTGGAGGAAGGGCCTGGGGGGCAAGACTCCCTCCGAGCAGCCATTGACTGCAGCTGCTGGCGGCTTTTTCTGTGTGTCTGGGATAACACGGGGTTAGGGGGAATGGGGTGGGGTGGTGGGTTTGCATCCATCCCATAACTTAACCTCAGGAGATCCCAACATGACATGCAACAGTCAAGGAAGCAATTTTGACCTGTAGTCTTGGCTGTAATGTGGGAGTGTGATTTTCATTTTGTGATGTACCTGTTAAAGGGCCCAAGTGTGAAAGTGCCTCCAGAACCAGACAATATAATGAATCTGATATACTCTGTAGACAAATGAATGGTCAGCTTTCCGGTCATCATTGTCTAACTACAGTCTTGACTTCAACTGAAGACCCCACATTAATGCTGTTCTATGATTGATCCTCGAATGCAACAAATGTGAATTGAGAGTGAATTGCCTTGAACAGTAAGATAGTGTTTTACCCCGTGTGGCATCAAGCAGTATGAATAATATTTGAAGTCAAAGGTAATGGAGTTGGAAGCTGCACTGAAGCTTATTGAAGCTTATCATCTCAACCCAAGACATCTTTGCAGGAAGTGCTCAGGACTGCAGCTCTGAATTGCAAATACTTAATTGTGTACAGTGGGCTTGAACACACAGTTTTCTCCAGCAGAAGTAAGACTACTGCACAGAACCAAAGCTAACATACAATGCAGGCTATGCCAAGTAAGGATGGCAGGTGAGCCTTTCTGAACAGCGTTAGTAAACCGAATTGGATTATTAAAACAAGCTGGCAACTTAATTGCCAGCAGCATTTCCTTTTTTTTTTAAAATTTCCAGGGATTTTCTGAATTTGAATTCTGTAATTGCCATGGTGGGTTTTAAATTCACATCTAATCCACTAGATTACTGTCCGTTAACATAACTATTTATTGTACCCTCAGGCACAAAGCCATGAACTAATCCATTGTCATTGGAGTGTGGAATGCTGCATGCCTGTCACTTTAAGAATGGGATTACCAAAATTACTCCAGAACAACATCTGGATTGACTCCTTGAAGAGAGGAATGAACATGCATAGATACAATTGACATACTTGCAGAAGCTTCCAATATCTATTCTTCGATGTGTGTTCTGTGGTCTATAAATTGCATTGCATGGTTTCTGGTAGCTACACAAGTCAGCTATTACACCACCCCTTAACATCATGCTTTTCACCTGCAATCAACTTTCCCTGATAGTAACAAACCAGCAACTGATACCCTGATAATGTGCCCACACCATGTCATCCAGCTCATTCTGATCTGCCTTGGTACTCCTCTCCTTTTTTCCAGTTTAACTTTAATTGTTATTTTTACCCAGTGCATTTTGGAGCATACCTTGAACAGCCCCATTCCACCTTCAGTGCTCAGTTTTCATCTGATCTCTGCTGAACACACCTGACATGTAACATTGTCCTTCTTTTCCATCAACTGGATGTTATGGAAGATTAATAAAACTCCCTGATTCTGTGTGTCCGCATGTTGTACAGTCATTTCTTTATTTGTTCAAGTGCTGTCAGCCTGTGTCTGACTAAGTGTTATTTGTCTATGCTGGACTAATCTGTTCAACTCGGTGCTGCCCACCCATCACTTTAACTGTTTGACGACTGTTATTATTAGATTATGTACTTAGTCAGTGCTAGTTACCCATGCATCTACCTGATTAGTGTTTGCAACCCATGTGTCTACTCCCCACCTGTCTCTACTTGACTCAGTACCACCTGCTTATGTCTCTGAGTGACTCAGAACTGACCTGACTCATGCTGCTGCTCTGCGTCTTTTGCATAGTATCCGACTGTATCATCGCCTGTCGAAATGCTTTGTTAGGATTAGAGTTAAGGCGGTTCCAAGCAAGGCATTGAAGGTTATTGGAAAGGCAAATCAGGGCAGGACTTACACACTTAATGGCAGAGTGTTGCCGAGCAAAGAGACCTTGGAGTGCAGGTTCATAGTTCCGCAAAAGTAGAGTCACAGGTGGATAGGATAGTGAAGAAGGTGTTTGGTAGACAGGCCTTTATTCGTCAGTGCATTGAGTATAGGAGATAACAAGGTGTAGAGCTGGATGAACACAGCAGGCCAAGCAGCATCAGAGGAGCAGGAAGGCTGATGTTTCGGGCCTAGACCCTTCTTCAGAAATGGGGGAGGGGAAGGGGCTTCTGAAATAAATAGGGAGAGAGGGGGAGGCGGATGGAAGATGGATAGAGGAGAAGATAGGTGGAGAGGAGACAGACAGGTTGAAGAGGCGGGGATGGAGCCAGTAAAGGTGAGTGTAGATGGGGAGTTCAGGAAGAGATAGGTCAGTCCAAGGAGGATGGACAGGTCAAGGGGACGGGATGAGGTTAGTAGGTAGGAGATGGGTGTGGAGCTTGAGGTGGGATGAGGGGATAGGTGGGAGGAAGGACAAGTTGGGGAGGAGGGGATGAGCTGGGCTGGTTTTGGGATGCGGTAGGGGGAGGGGAGATTTTGAAGCTTGCGAAGTCCGCATTGATACCATTGGGCTGCAGGGTTCCCAAGCGGAATAAGAGGTGCTGTTCCTGCAACCTTCGGGTGGCATCGTTGTGGCACTGCAGGAGGCCCAGGATGGACATGTCATCTGAGGAATGGGAAGGGGAGTTGAAATGGTTCGCGACTGGGAGGTGCAGTTGTTTAGTGCGAACCGAGCGTAGGTGTTCTGCAAAGCGGTCCCCAAGCCTCCGCTTGGTTTCCCCAATGTAGAGGAGGCCACAACGGGAACAGCGGATGCAGTATACCACATTGGCAGATGTGCAGGTGAACATCTGCTTGATGTGGAAAGTCTTCTTGGGGCCGAGGATATGGGTGAGGGGGGAGGTATAGGGGCAGGTATAGCACTTCCTATGGTTGCAGGGAAAAGTGCCGGATGTGGTGGGGCTGGAGGGAAGTGTGGAGCGGACAAGGGAGTCACGGAGAGAGTGGTCCCTCCGGAAAGCAGATAAGGGTGGGGAGGGAAAAATGTCTTTGGTGGTGGGGTCGGATTGCAGATGGTGGAAGTGTCGGAGGATGATGCGTTGGATCCAGAGGTTGGTGGGGTGGTACGTGAGGATGAGGGGAATTCTGTTTTGGTTGTTATTGCAGGGAGGGGGTGTGAGGGATGAGTTGCGGGAAATGCGGGAGACACGGTCGAGGGCGTTCTCGACCACTGAGGGGGGGATGTTGCGGTCCTTGAAAAATGAGGACATCTGAGATGTACAGGAGTGGAATGCCTCATCCTGGGAGCAGATGCGGCGGAGGCAAAGGAATTGTGAATAGGGGATGGCATTTTTGCAGGAAGGTGGGTGGGAGGAAGTGTATTCTAGGTAGCTGTGGGAGTCGGTGGGCTTGAAATGGATATTGGTTTCTAGGTGGTTGCCAGAGATGGAAACAGAGAGGTCCAGGAAGGAGAGAGAGGCATTAGAGATGGTCCAGGTGACCTTAAGGTTGGGGTGGAAGGCGTTGGTGAAGTGGATGAACTGTTTGAGCTCCTCGCGGGAGCATGAGGCGGCGCCGATACAGTCATCAATGTAACGGAGGAAGAGGTGGGGTTTAGGGCCAGTGTAGCTACAGAAGAGGGATTGTTCCACGTAATCTACAAAGAGGCAGGCATAGCTTGGGCCCATGCGGGTACCCATGGCCACCCCCTTTGTCTGTAGGAAGTGGGAGGAATTGAAAGAGAAGTTTTTGAGGGTGAGGACGAATTCGGCTAATCGGATGAGGGTGTTAGTGGAGGGGGATGTCAGTGGAGGGGGACTGGAAGAAGCAGAGGGCCTTTAGGCCATCTGTATGGAGAATGCAGGTGTATAGGGACTGGACGTCCATGGTAAAGATGAGGTGTTGGGGACCAGGGAATTGGAAGTTTTGGAGGAGGTGGAGGGCGTGGGTGGTGTCACAGACGTAGGTAGGGAGTTCCTGGACCAAGGGGGAGAAAATGGAGTCCAGATAGGTGGAGATAAGTTCGGTGGGGCAGGAGCAGGCCGAGACAATGGGTCGACCAGGGCAATCAGGTTTGTGGATTTTGGGAAGGAGATAGAAGCGGGCGGTGCGGGGTTGTGGAACGATGAGGTTGGAGGCTGTGGGTGGAAGGTCACCTGAGGTGATGAGGTTGTGGATGGTTTGGGAGATGATGGTTCGGTGGTCGGGAGTGGGGTCATGATCAAGGGGGCGGTAGGAGGTGGTGTCGGAGAGTTGGCGGCTGGCCTCGACGATGTAGAGGTCAGTGCACCATACTACAACTGCGCCTCCCTTGTCCGTGGGTTTTATGGTGAGGTTGGGATTGGAGCGGAGGGCTGCACGTTCTGCGGGGGAGAGGTTGGAGTGGGTGAGAGGGGTGGAGAGGTTGAGGCGATTGATGTCTCGACGGCAGTTGGAGATGAAGAGGTCGAGGGAGGGTAGGAGGCCTTGGGGTGGTGTCCAGGAGGAGGGGGTGTGTTGGAGGTCAGTCGAGGGAGGGTTAGGCTCACGGTTGAAGAAGTAAGCGCGGAGGCGGAGGCGGCGGAAAAACTGCTCTATGTCCAAGTGTGAGCGGTATTCGTTGATGTGTGGGTGGAGGGGGACAAAGATGAGCCCTTTACTGAGGACTGACCGTTCGTCATCAGTAAGGGGGAGATCTGGGGGGATGGTGAAGACCCTACAGGGCTGGGTGCTACTGTCTCCTCTGGAGCTGCTGGCTGTGGAGGCGG